GGGAGGGACTCGTCGCTCCCATGTAACACCGCTGCTGCGCGAGCTGCATTGGCTGCCGGTGGCCTTCCGGGTGCGCTTCAAGGTGCTGACCATCATCTTTAAAGCGCTCCATGGCATCGGACCTGGATATCTCCGAGACCGCCTCCTGCCGCAGATTACCCCCCATCGACCTGTACGCTCCCACAGAGTGGGTCTCCTCTGTGGGAGCTCCCACCCTCTGGAATGAACTACCCCCAGAGATCAGGGTGATCCCTGATCTCCCTTCCTTCCGCCGCACCCTTAAGACATGGTTATTCCAGCTTGCGGGACTGGCCTAGGGGAAAACTTTTAGAGGGGGTTTTAATTATAATTTTAAATTAGACCAATTATTAATATTTCCCTTTTAATTAATTTTTAAATTTGTAGTTGATATTTTTGTACTTTTTTATCTGGTTGTTAGCCGCCCTGAGTCCGCAAGGAGAAGGGCGGGATATAAATTTAATAAATAAATAAATAAATAAACATGGGTCCTAAGTACCATGTTGCATTATAAAATTGCAGTAAGTAAGTAAGAGCATTGCAGTAAGTAAGTAAGAGCATCCTGTCATACGGCATCATAGTCTGGGTTGGAGGCATCACTGCTTCAGACAGGAAGGCGGGGCAGAGAGTGGTGAGAATGGCCGAAAAGATCATTGGCAGTTCCCTCCCTCCCATCCAGGACATAGCACAGAAGCGTTGTTTGAGCAGGGTCCGTAAGATTATCTGGGATACTACACAGCCTCTTCACGACCTGTTTTCCTTGTTACCTTCTGGGAGGAGGCTTCGTGGTATCCATAGCAGAACATCCAGATTCAGCCATAGTTTCATTCCATACAGCATTAACCTTGTGAACTCTCAAGCTTCCTCCTTCCGTTATATATTCAAGATGGACAGTATTTAATATTTGTTTGCTACGTATATGTAGGGATGTGGGTCTATACATATGTTGTTCATAGTATGTTTAGGTGTGTGTCATGTATGTGTTTCACTTTGATTTTTGGACTCTTTTTCTATTTATTTTCAGAGTATTGAAGTTCATTGGGGAGGGAAGCAAAAAAACCAGCAGGTGCTCCATCAACACACGGGTGTCCCAAAACATGAATCATGGAGCTTCTCTGTCAAACTAGTTCACGTCTTGAACTGATTGCTCCCATCATTCATAGAATTATTCTAAGCAAGACAGACTATAAAAGGCTTCCTGTCCCAGCAGTACTTTGTGCTCTTCCTAAATTTAACTATGCTCTTGAAGTTTTTTAATTGCCTTATCTTGACTTTGAGCTACTTCCCCATCCCTGCTCCAGTTCTGATTTGCTTTCTGATCCTAATTTTCTGCTTGCTTTTCTTCATCCCACTTTATGATCCTCCAGTTATGCTAATTCAGACAAAATCTATAAAAATAAATAAAGCTATCCAGGCCTTTGGAATATTGCATCCAGATTTGCTATACCAGGGGTAGGCAACCTTGGCTCTTTTATGACTCGTGGACTTCAACTCCCAGAATTCCTGAGCCAGCCATGCTGAGGGGAAAGGGAGAGGTTTCCATGCTGAGCTATGCTGGCTCAGGAATTCTGGGAGTTGAAGTCCACGAGTCATAAAAGAGCCAAGGTTGCCTACCCCTGTGCTATACTGTAGTGACCAAAACTGGGTGCAATATTCCAAGTGTGGTCTTACCAAGGCATTATAAAGTTTTACCAACACTTCACGTAATAGAATCAAAATCAGGTGAAGAGTTAGTATCACTTTATAATGCCTTGGAAAGACCAGACTTGGAATATTGCACCCAGTTTTGGTCACTACAGCATAGCAAAACTCTAGAAAGAGTGCAGAGAAGAACAACAAAGATGATTAGGGGCCAGAAAGCTAAAACATATGAAGAACATTTGCAGATATATGGGTATGTCACGTCTAATGAAAAGAAGGGCTAAGAGTATCATGATAGCACTCTTCCAATATCTAAGGCGCTGCCACAAAGAAGAGTGGGTCTATCTGTTCTCCAAAGCACCTGAAGGCAGGATAAGAAGCAATGGTTAGAAATTAATCAAGGAGAGATCCAACCTAGAAATAAGGAGAAATTTCCTGGCATTTAGAACAATCAATCAGTGGAACGGCTTGCCTTCAGAAGTTATGGGTGCTCTATCACTAGAGTTTTTTAAAAAGAGATTGAACAGCCATTTGTCTAAAATGGTAAAGAATAGAATAGAGCTGGAAGGGACCATGGAGGTCTTCTAGTCCAGCCCCCCGCTTAAGCGGGAGAACCTATACAATCTCAGACAAGTGACTGTCTAACCCAGTGGTGGCGAACCTATGGTACGCGTGCCAGAGGCGGCACTCAGAGCCCTCTCTGTGGGCATGTGTGCCATTGCCCCAGCCCTGCCTCCTCCCATGGTCCCTTCCTCACCAGCAGCCCCCCTGGAGAGTTGCCCCCGGGTGCAGCCCATGTGGAGCAGTGCAGCCAAGGCCATGGCAGCCGGGCAAGACTCCGCCCTCGCACCCCGTCGTGCGCAGATGATGCTGCAGGGCACGAACAGAGGGCATGGCTGCCATGATGCTGCTGGGCTGCCTGGGCGATCTGCGGTGGGCCGTGGAGGCGGTAGGTGGCCCTGAGGGCGGGGGGCAGGGCGGGGGGCGGAGCAGGGGCAGGGGGCAAGGTGGGGGCATGGTGTTTTTTGGGCACCCGGTCTCTAAAAGGTTCGCCATCACTGGTCTATCCTCTTCTTAAAAATCTCCAGTGATGGAGTGCCCACGATTTCTGGAGGCAAGCTATTCTACTGATTAGTTGTTCTCACTGTCAGGAAGTTTCTCCTTAATTCCAGGTTGCTTCTCTCTTTGATCAGTTTCCAACCATTTTTTCTTGTCCTGCCCTCTGGAGCTTTGGAGAATAATGTGAGGCCCTCATCTTTGTGGCAGCCCCTCAAACAGTGGTTTCCGGCTTGAGCAGGGGGTTAGACTAGAAGATCTCCAAAGTCCCTTCCAATTCTGTTATTTTGTATTCTGTATTTCTATGTTTAGAAAACAAGAAGAATCACACTATTGAAACAACCTGAACAGATAATTTATAGGGTATCTATGCCTTTGATAAACTGATACCGATGAGTTGTGACTCCTCTTCCTTGGACAATTTGGCATTTTTGCTTCCAAAAATAATAGCCTTCACTTTCAAAACTTCATGATCATGATCATTCTATATTCCTTAGAATTTAGGGTAATCTATTTAAGACTTTGGTTTTGCTTGCTAATAAGCTGACAATCTCTGCATTCTTTTGCTAGCTTAATAAGCAAAGCTGATTTTTCTGAACCCTCCATTTAGCTCAACGTCTTCAGGTAGGATTTCCACCACAACTAAGAGCCATGCTCTCTAAACAAAGAAATTGGTGAAGAATAAACAAATTATTTTAATTAATTAAAATCACTCTAAGATACATATAATTAGTATGATTATACTGTATGTTATATTAACAAGCCACAGAATTCTCTCTTTCATTTTAGAACACTGAGATCCCAAGTCCCTAGCCTTCAACATTTCATTTGGCAATAGAACTTTAGATGTCCTGCACAAACGCAATAAGCAAGGCAAGCCATTCATTTCCACAGGCAGTTAGAAAAGACAGCTGGTGCTGGCAGATGTTGCCCATGATTAAACTCAGAAGGAATTTGACACATAAAGCTGGAGCATCATAGTTGGGGGACAATGAATTCTCTTCCTTCCCTCCCCCACTGAATATGTGTTACTTTTGCGGCCCATTGGGCTTGAAGCCAACCTTCATATAATCCAATCCTATAAGTTATAGGCTTCTGATTCACTTAAACATTGTAAATATATATATTTAAAAAAGAATTTAATTCATGAAACTTAGAAAAGATTTGAAATGAGTCCTTTGAACTCCTAGAAGCCAGGAAAGTTTAGTGGACAAACAGTTATCCTTAGTTGTGAGAGGCTTTGGCACATCTGAACCACTCATGTTAAAAACCTATTAGAAATCTGGTATACTGTAGGGACAGATCAAGACACTGTACCACTCTAGGCAAAGCAATGAAAGGTTCTCACTTCTGTCTCTAAGTCAAGCATAGTCTCCAAGCTTGGTCCAGTTAATCAGTCAGGCACTGGAGGCAGAAAATCCCACTAGTACCACATTATGGGAGGGAAAATACGTCAATAATATTTTAATAGCTGGTAATTTCTACCCTTCCAACGAATTCAATTCAGTTTTCTGAAGCAACTACCATTTATTGCCTAATGGTAAAGCCATTAGAATATGGGTGCCCAAATTTTTGGCTTGCCTTGGCCACACCGAGTGAAGAGAATTGTCTTGGGCTGCATATAAAATATATAATGTAGTTAATATATATAAATAACAAACTTTATTTTTAATTTTTGTTTATGGTCTTGTGGGGCCACATTACTAGCCGACTAGGACCACATGCAGTCAATGGCCTATACTATAGGCTGGACATGCCTGCATTAGAAGAAAATATTTGTAGCTCCAGGTTCAACTATGGGGTTCTTGGTGCCCTTTGAGCTTGATTGTGTTCTTGAAGATGTTTCATTACCCAGCTAGGTAACTTCATTAGTGCTAGAAGGGAGTGGGGTTTGCTCTCTGTTTATATACAAATGGCTTGCCTTGCCAGTGTTGGTGGGAGATTTCTTGGTGTTCCTTGATTAAGCTGTTATATCAACACTTTCAAATGAATAAAATTCACAAGGGAAGAAGAAAACAACAAACGCACCACCTTTCCTGGATATTCTCATCAGCAAAGTCACCATGGTTACCTAATTGGGTAATGAAATGGCTGTAAGAATACAGCCAAGCTCAGAGAGCACCAAGGACCCCATGGTAAAACCATTACCATGGTTAAATTCAATCTGCAAAGTGGTTCTTTTTGGACAGATGAGAAAAAGATGTATATATTTATTCAGTCACTCAATAACAGTTTGAATTGTAAAAAAAAAAAATAGTTTGAATTGTGACCCACAAGTTCTGCTAACTCAACCCTAACTTTGTTTGAAGTCCACCTAGTGAGTTAGCCTTCAATAAACTCTCCAGAAAAAAACAATCCTGTTTATGATTCACATGAAAATGGTATTTTGTAAATCCACAGTTGAATAAACCTGACATTTTCCCATTTTCAGCATCATCAAGAAAATAACATTAATATACTTCTCCATCACAAGTGAAATGACTTTTACTGACTTCTGTTTCCCACATTTCTACGTTATAAAAAAAATGGATATAGTTGCCAGGAACTATTCTGAGTGAAGCAAAAAGGTCCAGAATTGTGATACCTTCCCAAGCAGAGATGATTGTTCACATACTGGGTTAACCAGATTGTTTTCATAATGAATTTATTTTGACAACAGCAAGGAAGCCTGTTTGGACCATATGAATCATCCCAGTTAACTCATGCAGTTCTTTCCTCACAGTTGATTATTGCTTTTTTTTTTTATTATGATCATTGCAAAGCACTCATTTCCAAACAGTAGGGTGAAAGAAACCCAGTGAATTTCTTTGTTTAATAATTGCATGGCAATATTTGAATAAACCACTTTAATTATAAGGGTGAACTATTCAAATTGTTGAGGCAAAAAGCTGTATTTTGAACAATTCTAAAGATTCATAAGAAACTTGAATCTAGATGAGATAAAAGAACCAGCTATTTCTATTATAACTATATTATTCCCTTTTCTGCTTGTCTACCCAATTAAATTTTAAATACAAAATTGAGTATTCATTTGTACTGTGGATTTTAGAGGCTTTTTTAGATTTCCAAAGGAGGTTATTATGGATGCCAAAATGCTGGATTCACCAGCTTACTGTAACTGGAATATTCCCACTATCCTTATTCTCTGCCATCTTTGTTACAGCAGTGATATTAATATATCATTCCCTAAGGCCTAATCTTTTATGAAGATAGCGCCATCTTAAATATACAGGACAATTCTAGCAATCACACCACCCTGAAAACTGAAATTTGAGAGAAACCTCCATTTTTATATATCATTATCTAGCCATGTATAAGGCTCAGAGGTTAGACTTTATAATATTTTTAATTTAAAAAACATCTCAAATGGACACAAATGCACTTAATTAAAGTGAAAGTATGCAACTCTTCACAAATCTCCTTTTATTGTAATTATTTCAAAATAATTTCCAGTAATTGTAATTATGAAAAGTAATTATCTTAGAAAGAGAATGTCTTGACATGATAGGGCCAGCTGGAAAGGATGGAATATTCTGAATTGTTGCATGCTTGTTATTATTTCTATGCATCAAATAAAACAGGAAAGGTGAAACAACCAGATATCCCTCTTCCTCTCAAGATCAAACTACAGATCACCCGTTTTTTGCTTCCAGTTGCAACAGGAAACCAATAAGTTGCAAAAAAAATGCAAGAAAAGGTGAGGGGGGAGATGCTCTTAGCTTCTTCATTTTAATTAGATTATCAAGCAACACATTTTGAAAGCATATACAGTACATGTGTACCATTCACCCCGCAATTCCGTTGCTTATCTGTCCAGGTGTCCCGCTGTTTTCGCAGAGTCTTCTGGATGACATTTGTCTTGTAGATTATATGTGGATGTGCTCCTTCTTTTGATTCATATTTCTTCACTGGTTCAATGAAGTAGTCTCCATCAGGCAAGTGGAAGTAACCAGTCTAAGAAGAAATATTTGAATGTCTTGTAATAAAACAATCTGAAGTTGCACATACACACCCATACATATTCACCCACATGCAAGCACAAAACTGATGACAAGTGAACATTCTGGAGGTTAGAGCAGAAGCTTGGATTCTGGAGCAAATGTACTCTGAGCAGCAATTACACTGCTTGGAAAAATTATACCAATCTGTTTCCAGATTGAAAGGCAGGGCTACAAGCTTCAATCTGATTGGGAAGTCCAACATGACTGAGGATGTTGCTCCACTGCCCTTGCTCTGCAAATTTATAAAAAACTAGCTGTATCCGGCCACGCGTTGCTGTGGCTCAGTCTGGTTAAATAGAAAAGAAAGAATTGAATTGCATGTTCAATGGCAATTTCAAAGCATCCAACAGATGGCGCTGTTTTTCAAAAAAAGCATGTTTTTACCTGTCACAGGTGTGACATCTATATAACATAGGTATATAAAAACATGCGCGTATTCGAATGCAACGTTGTGTCAAAATTTCAAAGCAATCGGTGAAAAACTTTCGGAGATTTAAGATTTTGAACAAACAAACATTTACATTTTTATTTATATATAGATAATGGCTAAAGTTGGCTCATGTTTTCAAGAATGTCATTGTCTCTAACACCAAGAAATACCTGATGTCTCAGAGCCAACTTTAGATAGAACTCAAAAGCTCTACAGAGAACTTTCAGATCTGCTCTAGTCAGTGAGACGTGTGGAGCCCACCATTTTGCTATGATATTCTCATATTACAATTGCATTTCATTGCAGTGAACAAAATCCTGGACTAAGTATTACATTGTTAATTCTTTAGCAAAGTTAAAATCTGCTTCCCTATTTGTTTACGGTGTACAGCTGTTCAGTAACAATTTCAACATTTTATCTGAAACTGCCCACACATTTGGAAAACATGAATGAAAATGAGGGAGGGATGAACATAAGATCCTTTAAAGAAATTCACCTTTTTGATATTGGATGCAATTCTAATAGAAGGCAAAGAACCACTAGCAGATGGAAAATCAGTCTATTCGTGTTGAATTTTTTCTAAAAAAGATTCTAAGAGGGAGAACAGTTTCAGAAGAGCCAATTATCTGAAGAAGAGGTGAGCTTCTCTTAAGTGGTTGTGTGGCAACAGAGATTAGACAGTCACATTTCAGGGATCGTTTAACTTGGCTTTCTGCACTAAGCAGAGTCAGAGTTGTGATTTACCAGCACAGATAAAACTCCAGCTGTCTTCTGTTACTTAGAAAATCCTTCATTTGCTGCACCGTAGCTAGTTTGATCTTTTAAACGGGCATTTCACTCATAACTTTCTCATTAGCTTTACAATTTTGAGGAACAAAAACTTTGTGCATTTACCTACAACTGGAGTCCTTCACCTATTCCTATGTTTGGATGAGTAATCACCTCCTCTGCTTTCAGTTTTCTGTATCAGGTCCACGTATTCATATATAAAAGCATCAAGGACTAATTTTTCAATTAGTCTGCTTACTGAGGCCATACTGATATTTCTATTTACCCATGTTAAAGGTTATTAATAAGTAAAAGGGTAATTAAACTCTGATTAAGAACCCAGCGCATCCAAACAATAAAAATGTACCACACTGCAGTATTCTTTTTTTTTTTTTTTGCTTGTTGATTCACCAAAGCTGTACAATTTGTACAGACAGGCTCCCAGTTGTAAAGGTGTCTATTAAGTACTGCATACAATTCTCATAATGTACTCATTAGTTACTGTGCCCTCCTCTGGAATAGCCTGAAATGTCATAATTAAAAAGACATCTGCTCAGTGTAAACTATCTTCCTACTCAAGTGTTACCTGGCTATTTCCAGCCAGATTATACTGCAAATATTTCCTTTTACTATGTAATAACCTTCACAGTGTATTTTGGAAGTTTATTAGTTCTCTACACAATTTGTTCTCTTGCTAACAAACAATGACCTGGATTATGGGAACATCATAAACTTAACGAAGTCATAGAAACCAAGACAAAAAAGAAAATGAGAGAAAATATTGCTCCATTTTCAAAATGAGAAACACTGGCAAATAATGTCATCTAAAATAGAGCTTTAATCCTCTATTGCCAGAGCTACTAAATATAGGTAGTCCTAGACCAGGCATGTCAAACTGCCAGCCCGTGGGTCAGATGCATCACACCGAAACCGCGCCCACCCCATTGCCGGCAATGGGGAAAAAGTCCCGATACATCATGCGACGTCATATGACGTCGCGAGTTTAACATGCCTGTTCTAGACTTATAGCCATTCATTCAGTGACAGTTCAAGTTACTGGAAAAAAATGACTTAGGACAGCTCCCCACATTTATGATTGTTGCACAAAATTTGGGTTCTTTTCTTCTTTTTCTTTCTTTTACATATATTCTATAATCAGATGTTGGGTCGATTCGATTATCAGACAGAGATCCACTCACTTGGAACATTTGCTTATTTAATACGGTATTCTTGTTAACATTTTTTCATTTGTTGTTGTTGACGTTTTTAGTGTTGCATGTATGTTTTTCTGTTTTTCTATTTTATTCTTGTTGCTAAAACAAAATAAATATTATGAATAATAATCAGAATTTGGGTTCTTGGCAACCGGCATGTATTTGCAATGTTTGCAGCTTCCTGGGGTGACATGATCACCATTTGCAACTTTCCCATCCAGCTTCTGACAAGCAAAGTCAATGGGCATAACAACCGCATGATTCACTTAACTGCAGTGATTTGCTTAACAACCATGGCAAAAAAAAAGTCATAATAAGCATATTACTTAGCAGTGGAAATTCTGGTCCCAATTGCAGTCATACGTTTGACTCTGAATTCCTTCAAATGTAGATTCTCCCGGGTTACTTCAAAATCCTTGCATATGTCCCTAACCTTCTGTAAAGTGGCTGCCAATTTGTAGCATGAGCCTGAGAGATGAGACTAGTGGTTAGATATCTGGGAAGCATTGTAATCATCTTCATGGTATTTAATCAATATAATTTAAGCCCCAATCCACCACTCCTAAATTACAACCTTGGTTAGAAAACTGGTATCTGGGCCTGCTCACAATAATCCAATTCAGGTGCTTAAATAGTAGCAGAGATATGTGAGTACAGGTATATGAGATAACTAAAGGCTGATGATATCTTGATATAAAAGGACTCGTTGCAACGTCTGCCACCTTGTTGCTATGATGTAGTGATAAATTCAAGTAAATATCAAATGTGTTTCTGGCTACTGGTGCTTAAAACTCAATATAAGTATTGCATATGCCCACCAGCAACAACACTTTGCAGGGTTTCCAAAAATTCTCATACTTGTAACTTTTTAAACACCACTAAGAGCAATTGAGATTTTTGCTTCCAATGCCTGCTTGTTGTGAAGCCTTTTTTGCCTTAAGAGAAACAAGAAAAACACAATACAGTACAACACTGTGCAGCATTAAGAACAAACCTATGTATCTGGAAGCAACATTTAAATGTTCTAACCCTAACCCTAATCATGGGCCTATTATTTAGAGTAGAGTAGAGTAGAGTAGAGTAGAGTAGAGTAGAGTAGAGTAGAGTAGAGTAGAGTAGAGTAGAGTAGAGTAGAGTAGAGTAAAATTCTTTATTGGCCAAGTGTGATTTGACACACAAGGAATTTGCCACCAGTCCATAAATTCTCAGTGTATATACAAGCAACGAGTGATAAATCATGATCATAATCATAATACAATCATCATGAATCATAAGATACAACACTCAGTGATAGTCATAAAATACTAAATAGAAGCAATCAACATAAATCATAAAATACAAACAATAAAGTGATAAGATGCTAAAGGAATAGGAAGCTGAAAGAATAAGTCATAAGATGTTAAAAGAATAGGTAATAGGAAAGATGTGAAGGATAATATACACTAGGAATCAGAGCTCCAAGTGAAGAACAAAATAATATTCATTCATTCATTTCATTTCATTTCATTATTTACACTATTTTCCAAGTATATACTGTATTTAACACAAAATAAAAAACAGGAAAAAAAGAAACAAAATTATAGCAGATGATAACAAACAGAGAATTCAGTTAAAAAGGGCAATTACTAGTCCAGCCTTTTGCAACCCAATATCTTTTAGATGTGTTGGACAGTGGAGAGGGGAATAGAGAAGTCCAGCACACCTGGAGAACATCAGGTTTGGGATGGCTAGTTTAACCAATGTTCCAGCCAATTACATGAATCAATTAGAAGATATCAGTCAAGTAGAAGAGTTTTCTTAAACAAAAAGGCAATTTTGCAGCCTCTCCAAACTATCACAGTTGCCCAATTGCCTTAACTGGGAAAACTGAAGGAGATTCTGACTAAACCATCAAAGACAGCAGTAGCCCTGATCCAGGAACAATTTTCCCTGTGATACCTAGATTCTAGGCAACATCAAACCTTCTGCATTTCTTCATTTATTCAATTTGTAACAACAAGAATAAAAAATATCCAGTAGTCCTTGACTTACAACCATTTGTTTAGTGACTATTTGAAGTCACAACAGCACTGAAAAAGTGACTTACGACCGGTCCTCACACTTACAACCATCACAGCATCCCCAGAGTCACATGATCAAAATTCAGACAATTGGCAACCAACATGTATTTATGACAGCTGAATTATCCAGGGGTTATGTATCACCACTTGTGACCTTCCCAGCAGGTGACTGATGAGCAATGTCAATGGGGGAAAGCAGATTCACTTAACAATCATATGATTCACTTAACAACCACAGTGATTTGCTTAACAACCATTGCAAAAGTTACAAAATCGTGCATGACTCATTTAAGCACCTTGCTTAGCAATGGAAATCGCTGATTGTGCTCAGCAGTAGAGAACTACCTATAAATAAAAAAACAACCAACATGCATCATACTAAAACCTTACTAAAATATACTAAAAAGGTTAACATTATCTTGAACAGAATCAGTTGATGATACAAGGCTGTCTTTTCTTTTTTCTTTTGGCATTAGCCTAA